CACTTGGTAGCCCAGGCTGGCCTCGAACTCACAGAGATCCGCCTGGCTCTGCCTCCCGAGTGCTGGGATTAAAGGCGTGCGCCACCACCGCCCGGCTGCCTCAGGCTTTTTATCTTTCTTTTCTTCTGTATGTCCTACTCCATCTAGTTGGCTGGCCCTAGGCCTCTCTCTTTCTCCCTTATTCTCACCTTTCTCTTCTCCTTTCTAGATTTCTCCTCTCTGCCCACCTATCCCTCTCCTGAATAGCTATTGGTCGCTTAGCTCTTTATTAGACCAGTCAGGTGCCTTAGGCAGGCAAGGTGAAACAACCTTGCAACACCTTTTTACATAATTAAACAAATGCAGCAGAAACAAATGTAACACACCTTTACACAGTTAAAGTAATATTCTGCAGCATAAACAAATGAAACAAATCTTTACATAGTTAAATATTCCACAACACTCCCCTTTCCAACTCTCAGCAATATATCTTGGCAGTTTCAGGGTTAAGGCTGTGGTCTTCAGCTGTAGCACTGTGTCTCTGACTGTTGACCCTCTTTCAGATGCTAGAACCTGTGAGCTTGGTTGAAATCCCTGGGCTGACCTACTAGGCAGGCCTTTTTTGAACTTCTGGGAGGCACAGAGCTCCAAGTAGAGACTGTTACTGGGTCCCCTACCTGCCTTTGAGGTGGTTCTGGTGTTTATTCCTCAGCCATCACCTGTGTGGCTCTTGAGACCCAGATGGTCTTCCCTGATGACCCCCCACCCATGCTCAACTGCTTGCCTCACTTTGCAGGACCCTTACCAAGGCACCATTGTGCTGGCCACTGTTAAAGGTGATGTGCATGACATAGGCAAGAACATAGTTGGTGTGGTGCTGGGCTGCAATAATTTCCGGTAAGTTGAGACCTCACCTCATCCCCTTCATGTTTAAAAAGGAATGTAAATTGTAAATGTTTTACTGGGTGAGAGGGTTGGGGTGGTTATGGCCATGGAAAGGTGTTTGTTTGTCTACAGCTGTGAACACAGCTTTTTTTTTGTAGGTTCATAATTATGTATCTCTTAGGTATTTGTTAAGGGCATAGAGAGTAAGACATAATCCCTAGAGTCAGGCAGCCAGGAGGCTTCTTGAGAATCTGTATTGGACATAGTCTCTAATAGTTGCTCATCAGGCTTGTCTTAGGGTTTCTATTGCTGTGATGAAACATCATGACTAAAAAGCAAGCTGGGGAGGAAAGAGTTTTCAGCTTACACATCCACATTGCTGGATGCTGTTCGTCAACAAAGGATGTCAGGACAGGAACTCAAGCAGGACAGGAACCTGGAGGCAGGAGCTGATGCAGAAGCAATGGAAGGGAGTTGCTTACTGGCTTGCTTCACTTGGCTTGCTCAGCCTGCTTTCTTATAGCTTCCAGGACCAGCCCAGGGATAGCACCACCCACCATTGATTGGGCCCTCCCCCACTGATCACTAATTGAGAAAATGCCTTACAGCTGGATCTCGTGGAGGCACTTCCTCAACTGAGGCTCCTTCCATTGATGACTGTAGCTTGTGTCAAGTTGACACAAAACCACTTCTCATGGCCAGCATGTACCATTTTCCACTCAGCAAACTGCCAGGTTTTAGACCGGGGTTCTTATGAGAGCTAGCTTTGTAGGAAGGCTTTGTCTTTAATAGTCTTGCCGTCCTGTGTTTCTTGGTGATTATACTAGTGTTCTCTAAGGAACAGAACTGATAGAATGAACTAATATATGTTTATATATTAGTAAGGATTTATTAGAGAGGCTTACAGGCTGTGGTCCAGGTAGTTTCTGGTCCATCTGTTTCCCGACAGAAAGGCCAAGGATCCTTAGTTATTCAGTCAGAGACTAGATGTATCAGCAGTCCCAGTCTGGGGCTGGAGTCCCAGAGAGGTCCTAGAGAGCTGCCTGTTTCAGTCCACTTTGGAATCCCAAAGAAGAAGGCTTAACTACTAGAGTGGGGACAAGCAGACAGAAAGCAAAGCTTCATCTTCTGTTGTGTCCTTTTGTGTGGGCTGCCACTAAGAAAGTGTGGTCCAGATTTAAGGTGAATCTTTTGACCTCAAAGATCTAGATTTAGGGTGGATCTCCCACTTCAAATAATCCAACCGAGAAAAATCCCTCACAAGTACACCAAACTGCTTGTGTTTTAGATACTTTCAAGTGTAGTCAGGTTGACAACCAAGATTAGCCATCACAGTGATGATGTAGCTTTTGGAGTGATATATTCAGGTAAAACCTCTTTTTGCTATCTCATAATGAATAAATATTCATAAAAAAGTTACTTCCACATAGGCTAATGACTTATATTAAGTTTATATTTTCCTCACTTGACAATATAGTTCAATGAAAAATCACTAATGCCTGTCCTGGTCCGTGTCTGGCTAGCAGTCCTTTGGAGTCAGGGGCTGCTTTCCACTGTGCCTTTTCTCGGATGGAGAAGTCTGCTGGTGCGATGGTTATGCCCTCCTGTGTTCTTTTTTCTGCTGTCAGCTAACAATGAGCCCTCCCAGGCTCTCCCCTCAACACTTGACCCACCTCTGTCTGGAACACTGATTAGACTCTGTTCAGGATGGCCCAGGCCGGTTGTGTCAGGAAGGCAGCTTCCCATGGACAGTCTTCCTACCTTTTTTTCCAGCCTGTCTTGAAGACAGCGTTCTTTCCTAGCCTTGAAAATCAGGACTGCGGTTCCTACCACCTATTTCTTATTCGTTAAAATGACAAGTCAGCCTTTGTTCTGTGATGTCACTGTGTAGTTGCCAGTATTGTTTTGACCTGCATCAACTTAAACTGTAATGTATTCCAAATTTCCATTGAGAAATAAGTGTTTTTGATCAGATTATTGATTGCATGACAGTTGATTTTAGATATACTGTCTCAGCTATGGAGAAGACAATTATGTACTTTCCCTATTTAACACTAGTTATATAAGAAGATCTGCTATCAACAGAAAACTGCTATAAGTCGAGGGCAGCTGATGCTAATCCAGCCCCTCTCAGCACCTTACAGGATCCTCAGTAATTTAGAGGCCTTTCACTTGTCATAGTTTGTTGGAAGGACTTTGAAAATTTTAGTTTTTTTAAAAATAGAAATGGGCAGGGTGTGGTGGTGTATGTCTTTAATCCCAGCACTCAGATACAGAGGTGGGTGGATCAACATGGTGAGTTTCAGGCCAGCACAGGCAAGTAGACAGAGAGCAAACATTTCCTTCTAGGCCATTTTATGTGGGCGTCCACCAAAAGGTATGGCCCAGATTTAGGACTTCAAATGATGCAGATTTAGAGTGGGGGAAAGAAAAAGGGGGGGGGGAGCAACAGCAGTAGGCCCTGTGAGTACTTCTTAACCCTCAAGTAGAAGAGGAGAAGAAAAAAAAAGGGGGGGGGGGGATGGGGATCACAGCTGGGTGCTGGACTGGTAGGATGCTTCCATCTAGTGGTCGGATGTGTGAATTGCAGGGGCAGCGTCAGGAAGTGACAGGCACCATCAGGTCCCTGAAAGAGGAGCTGCTGTTTAGTACAGCTAAACAGCTGTTGAGTTTTCTTTCATTTGTACCCCTCCCTTATCCCTCCCTTCCTTCCTCTACCTCTCTGCTATGACACGGAATACATATTCCTAAGTTACATATTTATAAAGTGCGACATGAAAATACATGACTACAATGTGTATTGAGCAAACATTTGTCTCCTGTGTCCTCACTGAGGCGCAGGCATCACTCTCCTCTCACAGTTCTTCATAATACGCAGTAGGTGTTGTGTCCAGGAGCGCCCGCACTGCGGGGAACATGGGACTCATTTCTCCTGCTTAACTGTGGTAGTTAAGTCTGCTCTGCAGCCCTTTACCTTCCTCTCCTCACCCGGTCTAGCCTCTGCTAATTACTTTTCAACTTTCTGATACTTTAAGGTCAACTTCTAAGGTTCTTCACGTGAGAGAGGTCATATTCCTGTGTCTGGATTGTGTGACGTAACGTAATGTCCATCAGCCCCATCTATTTTGCTGCAAATGACAGAATTCCATTTTTTTTTTGGCTGAATAGTAGTTCATTCCATGTGTATATTACATTTTCTTTACCCGTTTATTTATTGGTGGAGGCTTACGCCATCTTGGCTATATATGCACAATTTTACTTTGCTTTGTGATTTCTTCTGAAGAGCAAAAGTGCTATTTTTGTCTACTTTATAAATTCTGTGTAATTTAAAATACTATTGGACACCATTAGTAACTCATGTTTTGTAGCTTATATTTTTTTTCTGAATTTAAGTCCCAAGTACAATGTGTACTTAAAGCTCTTTTTAAAAATACTTTTAAAACAATATATGTGTGTGTATACCTGCTAGTGCTTGTGGAAATCAGGTAACAACTTGTTCGGGAGTTGATTGTTTTGTCTACCATGTGAGTTCCAGGAATCGAACCCAGGATGTCAGGCTTGGCGCCAAATACCTTTTCCCGCTGAGCCATCTTACAGCTCTTAGGGCTCTGTTCTAAACACTAAGGAAGAACATCGGAAAAGTAACAGTTTTCACAACTTGCTTCCCCACCTCTCTTCCCCCTCCTCACTTTTCTTTCTTTTCACACGGGGTCTTGCTGTGTAGTCCAGGGTGGCCTTGAACTTGAGTTCTTCCTATTTTAGCCCTCCAAGTGCTGGGGCTGCAGATGTGTACCACCAGACATAGGTAAATTTTCATTTTTCCTTCTTTTCAGTCTTTTCTGTGGCAGAAAACAGTATTATACCTAGGGGAGACCCACAGACATGGGTTGCACACCACTCAGATTGAGCAAGGGATGGTAAAGGAAGTGGGTGAACGGGAGGAGACCAGAGCGGGGGTGAGAGGGAATGGCAGGGGTAGACTAGTCGTACCCACCTCTAGGCCCCAGGAAGCTCATGGAGTTTTAGCTGGTCATGGCCCCAAACCATCATGGTGTAGGGTCAGCCTGGTCAGAGCTGTTTCTCAAATATGCTAGGCAGTTTATTGGTGTGCCCTTGGAGATGCGCTGGGACAGCCTCAGTCTAGATTGGTACTCAAGGCTGGGAGGGACTGCCTTTGTGAGGCCCTAAGCTCTCTGTGTGTAGAAATTGGAAATACTCCAGGGGTGTATTCAGTCATTTCCCAGCAAGACTTTTGAAGGCAGGTTAAGAACTGCAGGTTGACATTGTTTTCCAGTCCCCTGCTCACTGTCCTCAGTCTGCCTCACTGACCAGTGCTCGTCACTCTTCTTCTGGCTCCTTCTTCTCTGAGCATCCTCAAACACAAGAATGCCTCCAGGCTCAGCCCTTGGCTTCTCCTCTGTCTAGAATGGTGCTTCTTACCTTCCTTTCCCCTCATCGGAGACTCAGGTCTGGTGGGAGGGTAGGTTTGGGCTCAAGTCTTGCATTTCCAGGGAGCTGTCTGATATCATTGGTGCTACAGGTACAGGAATCCCCAAGTAGTCAGGCCCAGGACAGGCTCAGCCTCATCATCTATCTAGTGTCTTGACTCTGATAAGGCCCGTTGTCTTCATGTGGATCTCTCTTCCCAGGCTCCAGATGTTCATGGAACTGCCTAAAGGGCTCTGTTTGAATTGAAATAGCAAGCTAATATTTTGAAAATGGAATTAGTTGCTATCATCTTAAGAACACCTCTCCCTAACTCACTCGTTTCAAAACACTGCTCATACCAAACCCTTGGGTCTTCCTGGCTTCTCTTCTTCCCAGCTTCGTGTAATACAGTGTTTGTAAGGGCATGGCCAGCTCACCACCCATAACTGCTTCTAAACTAAACTAAACCTTGTAGACCAGGGCCAGACTATTGTTGTTAGATGTCTCGGTGTGTAGCAACCTAACCAGTTTCTGTTTTTCCCCTGGGCTTCTCTGGTTCAAAGTGAATCTGTTTGACTGCAGCCAATCTTACTCTTCCATTCAACTCCTGCAGTAACTTATCTTACCAGAGAATCGTAGTTCTTGCAAGGTCTTTTTTCAGGGTGTAATCTCAGAGCCACCAGAATCCTGTTCTGTTAATTAAATCAGTCTCTGAGAAATACAGGCCAATTTACAGATGGGCTCAGTTGAAAAAAGTGCGGGTTCCATTGTGTGACGTGGCTCTTGACACTGGGTTGAGAAGCCCCTCTACTGCTTTGGGTGTGTGCTCTCTAGTGTCTGTCCTTTGCGCTGCAGCCTTCTCCTTTCCTGTCTTATGCATGTAAGATGTACCCAAAACTAACAAGATAAAACGGGAGAGAACGGTGAGAGCAAGATAATTGTTGTCATTATTCTGATGATTTTTATTTAATCAGATTTAAAAACATAATACAGGGCTGGAGAGACAGGTCAGCCGTTAAAGGCTAGAAAATGTCAAAAATATAATACAGTGCTGTAAATGAGGTGCATGCTTTTTGTCTTGGTTTAAAAGCTGTTTGCTCTTGCACCTAGTTTATAATGAGCATTGTATACTTAGTCATCTTAAACAAAAGATCCTTCGTTACTAGATTTTCTTCAGCATTAAAAATCACAGTAGCCTGAGAGGTCATCTGCCACCACCTCCAGCATCTGTTTGCTGTTGGTCAGCACTCACAGAGCACAGTGTACTTGTTGTCCACTTGAATTGTCTCGCTTTTTGTTGGCTCCATAGTGTTGGTTAATTAAAAAAAACTCTTGTAAAAAGGAATATAGGGACAAGAGACCAATCCATCAGTATAAGAGGGTTTGCAGTAAGAATGATAAGCAAGCCTAATTCCCACCTCTGTGTTCACCACTCACTAGTGATAATTGATGTTATGTTCTAGAGATGTTCTTAAGTGAACCCCTCCCCCCCAGATTAAGCATTTTGTTTGTTTTAAGACCAGAGTTTCACTGTATAGCCCAGGCTATCCTGGAACTTGCTAGATGTAGCTCAAGCTGGCTTCTAATCCATGACAATCCTCTTGCCTCACCCTTCTGAATTCTGGGATGTACTACCACACTTGTCAATTTTGGTTTGTTTTCAAGAATTTCTGACAATAAAATAAGTGAAGACACATGGTCTAATTTTTAAATCATTTAACAGATATGATAAGGTTAAGTGAAAGAATACACAATGGGAACTCTCTCAATATAACATGGAAAAATAATAGGTAGAAATCTCCAGAGCATTGCTAGTTTCTATGAGTTCCAGATTGTGTACCTCTGAAATTCTTTGGCATTATTCTGCCACCCCTCATCCCCGCCTTTTTTTTTTTTTTTTAAATAGTTATCTTTATTTAGGTGTATGTGTTTGGGTGACCTTGGAGACCAGAATAGGGCATTTGATTCCCTTGAGCTGGAGTCACAGGGGGTTGTGAGTCACCTAATAAGGGCGCAAGAGTAACAAGGGCTTTTTAACTGCTGACCCATTTCCCTAGACCCTGCTCCCTGTTCTGTCTTGGTGCTTGCCCTCCAACCCCCCCTCCAACTTGTGTGCCCACCAGAGTTGTCTTTCTGTTCAAAACCTGCTGACCTCTCCTGGTGATGTCTCCGAGTCACCCTCTCTTCCCTTCCTTGCCTTAAGTATGAGCTCTGCCCCACAGCTGCCCTGCATGTGCAGTGCAGGGACTACCTGCTTCCTGCTCATCCTCTCTACTCACTCCCACCAGCACTTTTTTTTTGACCTGAGTAGATAAGGTACTGGGTTTTGTCCTAGTTTCTGATTCATATCCCAACTCTACTGCCAATTAATTGAGTGATGGGACCTTGTCTTAGATCCCTTTTTCATTAAAATGGATGTGGAGTAGCACTGGTGACACAGAGCTGAGGTGAGGGTCCAGATTGCCACTCAGTAGTCACAGTATAGTGGAAACAACCCAGGTGTGTATTAGTAGATGAATGGGTAAGAGGATGCAGTGTGTCAGTCAGCTCTCCGTCACTGTAGTAGATACCTGGGATGACTTAGAAGAAAGGATGGTTTTGGCTTATAATTTTCAGAGATTTCAGCCCCTTGTTGGCCTCATTGTTTTTGGTCCTGTGGCAACACAGCACGTCATGGTGAGAAGTGTCATGTAAAAGCCTCGTTAATACCTATCTGGGTTGTGAAAAAGAGAAGGGAAGCACAGGGCTCCTGCTTCAGAAACACAGAATAAAAATAAATAAAAATGCCAAGCTGGGAGACAAGCCTTCAAAATGCTGGCCTTTGGGGGCACATTTCAGATCGAAACTATAGTATGTAATCCATTCACACAATAGAACATTATTCTCCTTAAAAGAAACTCATGTGGATGACCTCTGGTACTGTGGTTCCAGTTTACATTAGAGCAGCATTCAGTGGCTAACATTAAAATGTTCATTTCAGCTCTGTCTCTTATGGGCTCTTGTTAATTTTCTGACATCTCGTTTCTTGCCACAGAGTTATTGATTTAGGAGTCATGACTCCCTGTGATAAGATACTTCAAGCTGCTCTTGACCACAAAGCAGGTACCGTGCCTCAGTCTGCTGGGTGTAGCATTGAGCATTATTCTCCTGAGAGTCTGTTGGAGAATGGAAAAGCCCGGCTCATGTGGGGTCTGAGGGACCTACAGGCAGCCAGCTCCAGTGCAGGGTGTTGGGGCTTGAAAAAGGTGTGCGAGTGTCCATGGGCCTCCTGAGTTCTAGAGGTGGAGTGGACTGGCCTCCTAGAGGAAAACAGCTGGGTTGGATTTTCCCTTGTGTATAGTTGATTTTATGGTCAAGTCTGAGAGTATCATGAACTAGAGATAATTTCTGTTGTGTGGCTTCCTAACTCGGTTACAACTGTGTTGCTGCAAATTTAAGTTATACTTCCTATTACCCAAAGCAAACACTAAATTCCTAGAATTATAAATTGACATGATAGGTTTTCTGATCTTCAGTCCAAAATTTTTAAAAAGTGGTCTTCTTTTCTCTTTTTTTCATTATCACTGGTCAATTCTTCTTCTTTTTTGATAATAGATATAATTGGCCTGTCAGGACTTATCACTCCATCCCTGGATGAAATGATTTTTGTTGCCAAGGAAATGGAGAGGTTGGCTATAAAGATTCCTTTGTTGATAGGAGGTGCAACCACTTCAAGGTAAGTCAGCATGATGACCTTTATACTCACTCTGAACTCTCCTAAATGCCGGTGTTCATGACCGTGGGAAAATCTGCTGCTGATCTCTCCTTTGCGTAGCGAGTTGTCTCCTTGGCACAGCTTCCCATTCTTTAACAGGAAGTATGAGAAAGCTTCTGGAACCTGCTCTGGGGACTCCTTCGTGAGTCCCTCCACTGGCCCTGTTTTGGATTCTGTTGGCTTGTAGTTGTCTTTTCCATAATCCTCTTGTCTTCCAGGCAGCTCCTAAGAATTGTAATGTACTCTTTACCCTCTTGGAATCAGACTGAATAGCAAAACTGTGGTGGTGTTTTTTGTTTTGTTTTGTTTTTTTATTGCAGAAAGATGTTGCTTGAATTTCTGCCTACTCTGTTAAAGCAGGAGTCATGCTAAGTAATTATAAATTTTGTGAAGACACTCGAACCTTGTAATAGCGACACACTAATGAAAATGAACTAGGAAGTCAGTTGGAGGCGTTGTTTCCAAGAGGAGGACTTAGGGGAGAACTTTAGGATGAAAGGCATAAAGTGGAGAGTGTTCACATTGAGTTACATGGGCAGTGCTTGGTCTAAGTTCTACCTGAGATCGTGGTCATGGCGAGAGACACTGGGCTTTTGCAGCATTTCTTACATCAGAGATACTTGATGGTTGGCAGGGGATAATATCAGGTTGGAACATTGAATTTGGTGGTCCCACAGTGTGCAGAGTTTTTTGTTTGTTTGTTTGTTTGTTTGTTTTTTTAGTGCAAAAGTAAAATAATACTGTGGTCCTAGGTATTCTAAAGCTCCTCAGAGAGTGAGAGAATTCTTGTGAGTAATTGGCTCATGTGAGTGTGGCTGGAGCCTCAGTCTGAGGACAGTCTTCAGGCAGAAGTTCTTTGCACAAAAGGCAGGGGGTTAATGAAACGGCTTAATATTTTTCTGAAGGTTTTTAGCTGATTGATGAAGTTAACCCACATTATGGAGAACCATCTACTGAATTTACAGATTTAAATATTTATTGCAACTAAGAAATACCCTCAGAGCAATATTTGGACTGCATGCAGTGTGATCAAAAACTGACTAATGTGGCATACCCAATCTTACACATAGAATTAACTATCATATTATTTATAATGTGAATGGAGAGTTTCCACAAGTAGTAAAATGTTTACATCTTTATCCATTAATTACTTTTCATTAAAGTGATATGACAATTTGGCCATTGTTGCTGATATTAGAAAATTAGATTTGTTTCTTACCAAGGACTGACTGACTAGCCAAGTGGCAGAATTATTCTTAAGGGATCTGACTGGCCACTGATAAAAAGGATTTATTTGTGTGTGTGTTTGTTTTCTTTCTGTACTGAGACAACCTAGGGCTTGTGCATGCTACGCAAGATCTCTGACTAAGCTATGTCCCCAGCCCCCTTTTTACTTAAAATCTTTTATTTTTTTACTTTTGAGACAGGTTCTCACTAAATTGCCTAGTCTTGAACTTGCCTGTAGCCCAGGGTGGCCTGGAATTTGCAGTCCTCCGTCTCAGTTTCCAAGTAGCTGGAACTATAGGTCTGGACCTATAGGCCTGGTAGATAACTTGGGCTTCATGAACTTAACCTGTTTTTTTGCTTAGTGTGGAAAGCGGCAATAGGACCTATGGACTATTGTCAAAATAAAGACTTAAAAATTGGGATTGTGTAATATACCAAATCTCTACATTAGGAGTTATGCACCTGTGACACTGGATTCATAATTAAAATATTTTTATATCATGGTGTGCATCATTAAGATCAGGAACTTGTTACTTGTGCTGATTGGAAGTTGACTACTTGGTCATTTTATTATAAGAGCCACCAGACAAAAGAAAAAAGCTCTCCTCAGACACCTGGTTGTTTCTCCTCAGATGATTGAGGTTTCAGCAGTACCTAATTCTTCCCTTTGGCAGATGACAGCTCAAGACTTGCATGATTTTATGAGACAGATTTCTGAGGGTGATAAGCTATGACTTTTCCAATAACAGCATGAACCAGACTTGTGCTCCCAGACATTTGAGTACAAGGTATGACCATCCAGTAGAGGGTCTTTAGAGAGCTGAAGGTTAGGGGTCAGAGATGGGTGGGAATATACTTGGAGTGTCCCATTTGAACCTGATATTCTATCTGTAGTGTGGGTGATGTGGAATCACATATGGGAACTTCATGGAAATCTGGCCTTGTTATGGGCAGAACTTCACAGGGTATACATTCTGAAAGTCATCTGTTAAATTTAACTAATGTATAGCCAATTACTACCGTTTTAGTTAGAGTTTCTATTCCTGTGATGAAACACCATGACCAAAAAGCAAGTTGGTGAGGAAAGGGTTTATTCATCTTACACTTCCACATTGCTGCTCATCACCAAAGGAAGTCAGCACAGAAACTCAAACAGGACAGGATTTGGTGCAGAAGCCATAGAGGAGTGCTGCTTACTGGCTTGCTTCTTATGGTTTGCTTGGCCTGCTTTCTTAAAGAACCCAGGACCACCAGCCCAGGGATGGCCCCACCCACAATGGGCTGGGCCCTCTCCCGTCAATCACTAACTAAGAAAATGCCTTACAGCTGGATCTCATGGAGGCATTTCCGTTGACATGGTTTTTCCGGTGTCCCAGGAGCTACACCCGAGTAACCACAAGGAGGTTTATTATTAATTATAAATTCTTGGTCAGTAGCTCAGGCTTGTTACTAGCGAATTCTTACTGTTTTAACCCATTTATATTAATCTACATACTGCCACATGCATCATCTTGGATCTCCTATTTTCTCTCTATGTCTCTCTGGCGATTCCTCCGACTCCTTTTCTTCTCCCAATGTCCTTAATCTGGTTCACCTGCCTAACCTTATCCTGTCCATCCATTGGCCAGTCAGCTTCTTTATTAAACCAATCACAGTGACGTAGAGTCACACAGTGTAAAGGAGTATTCTATACCACACATTTCCTCAGCTGAGGCTCCTTCCTCTCTGATGACTCTAGCTTGTGTCAAATTGACACAAAACCAGCCAGTACAACTACAAAGTAGGGTTTGCAGTTTCTGTTTTTTCTTAAATTTAAAGGAAAGTCACATTGCTTTTAGGTAGAGATAATTTTCTGAGTGTGTGTGTATTTAATTGCTCGGAAGTAAGGTGATTTTATCTTCCTCTTTATTTTGACCATGAGCTTTTGCTAGGGAAGCTTAAAATGTAGGGGTGTGTATAGGGTTTCATGGAATGCATTTTAGATCTGTTCTTACTTCTGATTTCATCATCTTTTTTTCTCTCCTTTGTTTTTTAAAAATAATTGTGTGTGTGTGAGTGTGGTGTGTGTGTGTGTGTGTGTGTGTGTGTGTGTGTGTGTGATGGTCAGAGGATAGCCTTGTAGAGTTGGTTCTCTTGGGTGTGCATATGCCACGGTGTGCACGTGGAAGTCAGAGGACAACTTGGGGAACAAGAGTTTCTCCTTCTACTTTGTGGGTCCAAAGGATTGAGTTCATGCCACCTTGCTTGGCAGTAGGTGCCTTTTACTCACTGAACCATCTCACTAGCTCTCTACATCTACCTTTATGGGCTCCGGGCATTGAATTCAGGGGGTCGGGTTTGTGTAGTGAGCACATTGACTGGCTGAGCCACCTCACCAGCCCTGTTAAAGCACCAGCTATGCAGTATTTATATAAAATACTTTCATTCTAGACTAGGCCATGATATGAAAGAAAAGATTCCAATACACTTTGACTAAGGGAAAGAATATGAAAACACCTGATTTGGAAGAAGGAAAGAACAGGAAACACATGGTGGGAACTTCTGTAAGCCATCCTGTGAGCCACTTTTCTCCATCTTCAGGCCCTACTTAAACCACTTAAAGTGAGGCTATATTTGTTTCCAGTTCTCAATTTTGTATATTTCTTAATGAAATTGCTAATACAAAGCCTACACCATTGCCATAAGCACCTAGCAATCAGGACAATATGTTTAACATGTTAAATGTGATATTTAAGAATTAAAGGTTAAGCCAGGTGGTGGTGGCGCACACCTTTAATCCCAGCACTTGGGAGGCAGAAACAGGCAGATCTCTGTGAGTTCGAGGCCAGCCTGGGCTACAGAGTGAGTTCCAGGAAAGGTGCAAAGCTACACAGAGAAACCCTGTCTCGAAAAAACAAAAACAAACAAACGAAAGAATTAAAGGTTGTTCCTGGTATCTGCATGTTAAAGTTTGGCAATGGAAACTTGGGGGCTGAGCAGATCTTAGTATGAAGTATTTTGTTACTTCTATGCTTTGTTTTAAATTAATTGATTCACTTTGTGATATTAGGGATTGATTGAAACTAGGGCTTTCTGCATTGTAGCAAGAGTTATACCACTCAGCTATATCCCTGGCCTCTTTCTGTTTTTTTTTTTTGCATTTCAGGTCTGGGGTTTCTTTTTAACAAGTAGAAGTGGGGTTGAGGCCAGTGTATAGATGGCTCTCTCAAACAGGAAGCAGCGGTCAGATCTGTGTCCTGTGTCTTCTGCCTGCTTCCTGCTTCCCCGGGGCTCTGGCTGTTCTCCCAGATCATTTGGAGGGAGGAAGTTGACCTTGATGACAGTAGGGTGTGACTGCCAGGGACTGTGTTCCTCTCTGGGCTCAAGCAGGCTGTGATGAGTGCCTGGGCTGGAACTCCTTCCTTGTTGGCGGATAACAAAGAACAAACCTTTCTCATTTTGTCAGACTCCCTTGGAGCCAGGCCTATCAGTTCATGTCATTTCACCCTGTTTTTCTCATCTCAGGATGGGAAATAGTCCTTCTTGGTTTATAAGGGAAATTTGAAGTTCAATATTTGTAAGTAAGTACCTTGAAGATTGCTCTTGAAAATACTTTAGAAACATATTATCGCTAATGGTTCTGAACATGAGTTGCCTGAGCAAAGAGCTGTCAGCACTGATGGATATGCTTTTCTTCTTGACCCTTGTTTTCAGAACCCACACAGCAGTTAAAATAGCACCACGATACAGTGCGCCTGTAATCCATGTCCTGGATGCATCCAAGAGTGTGGTGGTGGTGAGTGTGGGGCCTTCCTTTACTTCAAATGTGTTCTAAAGAGGGGACAGAGAAAGCACGAAGAGCTAAGGTATCACCCGAGATCCAGTTTGTTTTGACAAGTTCTACTGCAGACATGTGAGAGAGCAGTGAAGTGACGTGTGAAAGAACTCAAGGTGTGCCGCTGCAGGGCTTGCCTCGCTGGAAGTAAGCCCCGTTAGCAAGTCTGGTGCTTTTAGGGATGCTGACCGAACTGAGCAATAGCTCAAGGATGGCACCAGAGGTGCCTGGCACTTGGACATCTGACCAGATAGACAGATGCCTTTCATTTACCAATATGAGTCGATCTCTTTGGCCATTGCTAGAATTAAATGGAATGTAGGATTTTTAAAATGACTTTGTTCCAGATGTAAGAGCACTTGATAGGGCCAGCTGACTCAACCAGAAAGCAGTCACCAGATAGTCAAAACCCAGAGTAAGAGATAGTTCTTCACCGAACATAACAAAACCCCTGCCCAGGTGTCTTTCCCTGCCCTTGACTAGTGAATCCTGATTGCCATTCTCATGAGTTTGCTGAATAATGTCCCCAGCTGGGGACATGTGGGAGACCACATGGTCCTTCAGTTTCCAAGTTGCTTGCCTAGAAACTCAGTGTAAGGTAGAAAAGAGCTAAGCGGCCTCTTCTGTCCTTAGTCCCATTTGTAGTTTTCAGTGAAAGCATAGTTTGACAACTCCAGGGATTTTTGTAGGGAAGAAATACTACTGAAGGGTCTGGTGACCTGGGGGACTCCAGTAACACCGTGCAGACTGGATGACAGTGACCACAGTTTCTATGCTGTATTCTGAAAGGAAAAATTCAGATCTTTGTGTTTATTTACCTGGAATGTATACAGTGATCACTATTACACTGAGTTGAGTGTATCATGAGGTGTTATTGCTGGGGGAGGGTGGTGCTGGTGGTGCTGGTGGTGGTGGTGCTGGTGGTGGTGCTGCTGGTGGTGCTGCTGGTGGTGGTGGTGGTGGTAGTGGTGCCTGTGCCGCCACCACCACAGAATGTGTCTGGAGGTCAGAGACACCTTGTGGGGATTGTTCTCTTCTTCTACCATGGGTCCTAGGGATTAAAGTCAGGCTGTCAGCCGGGCAGCCAGCATCTTGACCTGCTGAGCCCTCTCCCGGGCCTCAGGAGAGTTGATCTCCCTTGGCTGCCTTGTGGTTGTTGAACTTTATCTTGCATTTCAGTGTTCTCAGCTGTTAGATGAAAATCTGAAAGATGACTATGTTGAAGAAATACTGGAAGAATATGAAGATATTAGACAGGACCACTATGAGTCTCTCAAGGTAAGTGATAAAAGCAGGTCTGTGCTCATTTCAAATCAGAGTGATCCATGGTTTTTCATGGGTTTTATTGACTATTTTGAGGAGTCCTTTGAGAGAAGCCTATTCCTAGTACAAATCTGAATTCTTTGGTATTTCTAAATTTCTGATTTTTAAATTAAATATTATAATGAATTATAATTAGGGAGTGGACCTGCATACCTATAATCCCAGCACTTAGATGGGGGCAAGAGGACCATGAGTTTGAAGCCAGCCTGGGCTATATAGCAAGACTATATCTCAAAACACTTGAGAATTTTTTTTTTTAACTGTATTAAGGCAAACATTCTGGATCCTCAGTAGGTATTAGGCTGTATGCCAGATACCAGCCCTATGAGAAAGAGTAAAACATGAGCCCCTAGACATCCCAAAAATATGAGCTAACCCATTCTAAAATGGTATTCTCAGACTCACTGTTGAGGGGTAAATGAAGAAAAGGGGGATGTTAACCAGGCCATTCTCAAGCCTCTCCTGGTTATTAGCCTGATCGGGTCTGCCAGGCAAATTCAGAATCATGTGCCAGGAACAGTCCCTCTAGGCTTCAGGAACTCCATAATTACCCTTTGAAGTTACTAGGATAGTCCCATGCTTGTCTGCATTTTCTTTGTGTGGGGCGTTAAGAGAGTTGCTCAGAATGTGAATGAGAGAATAAAGAGTTGATGTGTTTCTGAGGTGCTTCTCATGGCTTCTTCCCAGTCTCCTGTTTGCCTGCAGCTGGCAGTTCCGTGGGTCTCCCCTGCTCTGGTCCTCAGGGTAGTTTGGGCAGGGCAGTTAACTCCAAGCCTATGCATCCTGAAAGAACTGGTCAGGGCTGCAGGGTTAATCTTACAACTACAATGAACACATGTCACTCTTTACTGTGTTCTGTTCTGGTGGCAGTGTGAAGCAATATTGGATAAGAAGTTTAAGGATTACTCTTTAAAAGTATTTGGTTTTATTCATTTTTTTTGTTTGCAAAATTTTCTTGGCTATGTTTTCATTGTAGAGATAGAAAAGCTAACAGGTTCTGACTAAATAACTATTTTCTTCAACAGGAGAGAAAATACTTACCCCTAAGTCAAGCCAGAAAAAATGGTTTCCACATTGATTGGCTGTCTGAACCTCACCCAGGTCTGTGGCTGTTGCTGGAGACAACTTAAGTGTGACAACTGATAGTGTCTAGGAATGTTTGCAGTTACTCGGCTACAAATGAACCTGCAAGCGAGTAATTCTCAGTTAGGTGTTGTAATAAGTCACCTAATTTAAGAAAGTAGATAGGAAGACTGATTGCGTGCCACAAACGGTTGTGAGATGGATTCACCATGGCTTCCTGAGTCCTTTGGATGACTCCGTAACAAGCATGTTTATTGTCTCCATTCTAATTGAAGAACTGTGAATTTCAGACAGTAACATGAATGGTTGTCAAGCTTCTACCATCGGGTTTGTCTTCTGCAGCCTCAATGCTTCTCTGGGCTCTGCTTGAGTGAGCCTCCTCGGCTGACCTGAGTTGCATGCAGGCCAGAGGACTCACTGAATGTCTGAAATATAAAGTAACTACGTTCACAGGTCTTGAAAAACTCGGCAGCAATGCTGGATCCTTTTTCACCTTCTTGTTCTGTCTCTGGATGCTTCCCTTTTAATTTCTCTTAGGTGGTTTCTTCCCATTTTATTTCTAGCTCCTTTCTTACCGTACATAGGTATTCACAAGGGGATAATCTGCGTAAGGTGTTTTGACAGGCTCAGAGAGACATGAGGCACAAATGCAAAACCGAGACAGGGTGAAGGGGGATTCTGTTAGCGGAATCCGTATTTCCAAGGTAATGTCTGAAACCAGCTTTCGGTGCTCATGACATCTGTGTGCCACACATGCTCAGCAGAGTCGAGAGGATTAAATTGGAAATGTAGGTGTGCTCAGTTCTAATTTCATTCCTGCTGGGTTCAGTGTGCTTTGGTGGAAAGAGTGCCAAATTGGGAGCTGGGAGGCCCGGGTGCTCATCCTGGCTTGGCTCCTGGCTCTGATTCACCGTGTGACCTTGAGTGTCTGACTTCTACATTTGATAGGCGCTGAAGTATAAAGGGGGTTACTTTATGGAAATGTTGAAAGGTTAAAATAAGATACTAATGTGAAAACCTTCGAAGAAATAGAAATGACTACAACAGAGTCCATGCTGTAGCTTTTCGCCGTTTGCCTTTTACTCTGAAATTGTAGAGGCCCCAGGGCAAGTCATACACTCAAATATATATTTTGCTAGAAATGACCCTGAGAAGGCCCATGATGCCTGGTAGTGGTGGAGATACTTCCTGGATTACCTTTTTAGCCCCCATATGATGACATCACTAGGCTCTAGCCTGCTGCCTGAGGGTTCTGGGGTCCCAAGGTATGGCCTTTGAATGTTTTGAGGATAGCCCACTTGTCTTCAGGGAGCTGTATGAAGTAAAACCAGTAAGAAAGCAGGGCTTTCTTTCTAGGCCCTGGGAAGTAGAGCCTGAAGCAGCCTTGGAACTCTGGCATGAAGCTTGATCAAGAGTAGCCCTACCCTCAGGGACTCCACAGCTGCAGGTCGTTGCCTTCCTCCTAGCAAGAGGCCTCTTTGGTCTGAGGTGTCAGTGGTCTCTCTTGAGTCTCCTCTTTGGTCTGAGGTGTCAGCAGTCTCTCTTGAGTCTCCTCTTCGGTCTGAGGTGTCAGTGGTCTCTCTTGAGTCTCCTAAGAGGACTGTGCAGACGTTATTAATAAACAAACCTACACGATAATGGTTTAAGAGTGGGGCGGCCCTGCATGGCAGAGCAGATGGGAAGAGTCACCGGTGCAGGAAGGCAGAGATTCCAGCTCAGTTAAGAGCTCCTCTGCTCTCGCCTTGCTTTCTGAGAGGCCCATGTTCCGCAGAGCCGCTAACAGTGGAACAGCAAGGCCTTGGATCCCTAGTCACAGGGAGGCCTGGGCACTCAGAGTTGGCAGTAGCCCCGGCCCCTTGGCTTCTGGCCCAGTATCCATGTGGCATTGTGTCCTTGTTGTCCTGAAATGTCTGAAGCACAGTCTGCCTATAGAGTCCCCAGAATTATGTATGTTACGATATGTTTCAGACTTGAGATGTAGGGAACGATTTCTGAAGGCCTGTCTATTTCCATTACTCAACAGTACTCAAGAAATAACTTATGACTTTAGTCTTCTTTAAAAAAGTCAAAGATAATCATCCACAGCCGCAGTCCTGTATTTGTCCCTCCCCTGTAGAAGTAGCCACAGTTTGGAGTTTGGAGCTTCATTTCCGTATATGCCTTTACACTGTGTGTGTGTGTGTGTGTGTGTGTGTGTGTGTGTGTGTGTGTGTGTGTGTGTGTGTGTGTGAGAGAGAGAGAGAGAGAGAGAGAGAGAGAGAGATTGTGCAGTGAAGGCCATTGGTTCCTGTTTGTAAACTTTATATAAGTAGTATACTACACATGCCCTTCTGCAGTAGTCTTTTTTAACACTGCCACCAACACACAGGAGCTGACTGAAGCCTTCCTTTTTTCTTAGACATAGTGGGGGTGAATAGGTTGAGGGAAGAGTTTCCAGCATGGGGTAGCCAGTCTGCTGCCTGGGGAAATTCCTTCTCCATGATCATTTCAAGTTGACTCTTGGTAAGAGACAGCTCCTGTGGGTGACAGGAGGGAGGCAGGTGTGGGGGTAAGCGTCAGTGAGGAGCAGGGAAGGACCCCTGAGTGTGTCGGTGTGAGTGCTGTCCCAGCTCGTGTGGCACTGATAGCTGTGCCTCTTTGCTCTAGTGAAGCCCACATTTCTTGGGAGTCGGGTCTTTGAAGACTACAACCTGCAGAGGCTGGTGGACTACATTGACTGGAAGCCTTTCTTCGATGTCTGGCAGCTCCGGGGCAAATACCCAAATCGAGGCTTTCCCAAGATATTTAACGACAAAACAGTAGGTTAGTAAGTCCTAAACTCCTGCTTGTGTTCAGGAGGTGGTGCTGTGACTCTGAAGGTGGTCTCAGAGGACTAAGCGCTAAGTGTTTAGTTTGCCCGGAATATAGCTGCTTCCATATTGCTCACCCGCTCGACTTCCAGATGGACATTTCATAGTTGGCTTGCCCTTCTTATGTCAGGTAAACTTGGCCTTTTATTCGCCCCTTTCTTTAAATGAGGGTACTCACTGACAGCAGGTACGTTCTGGTCTCTGTTCCACACAGAGGCAGACAAAAAGGAGGTAATCCTGTGACTCAGTGCCTGATTTACTCACCGGTGCAGCCGACAGTGCTAGGTTTGTGCTGGGCTCTTGCTCTGGGCTCAGCCTGCGACCCCCCTCGTATAAGAAGAGGGGCTGGATCTCCAGCCGGAGGTTAGAGTGGGCTTCCTGGAGGCGGTGGGACTTGAACTGTTACTGAAGAGTCCGTGGAACTGCTGAGGCTGGGCGTAGGGACAGGAAGCAGAAATGAAGAAGGAGCATGTCAGATTGAGGCGAATGAGAAGCCTTGGACATGGGTGCCCACGTGGGGAGCTGCAGATCTCTTTGTACCCAGAACATTTAAGGAAGGAGGGAGACTTGGCACGATAAAGGAGAGAAGTGAGTAAATCACTAAATTGCTCCCCTCTCTTGTCTTGGGTAGCTTCACCCCACCCAGCCCCTAGAGACACGGGAGGAAGAGTACTGGTGAACCATGAGATTCGGGCTGGAGAGAGCCAGGGAAACCAGATACTTGTCACCTTGGGGAGGTCCTGGGTATGCTGGATGCTGAGACCCAAGTACTTACAGGTAGTCGGGAGGATTGGGTAAGGGACTTCTTACTGCACTGTCCCTGTGCCATCACAGCAGGCTGTGAAGGGACTGTGCGACCGCCCTTCAGGCAGGCAGGGCAGCACAGTGTTGCCTACTGAGAGCTAATGGGAACTGAGGGAAGGGGCCCCAGGCCTGGTCTGGTGCTTACCATGCAGGGGCTGAAGCTATTCAGATACAGTACCAATGCCGTTTAAGAGGATTTGGGCCACACATCACGACTCACCCTGTCTCATGCCCATACATCACTGTGAAGTTAATAGGGTTGTATGTGGAATGCCGATTCTTGCCCTCTTTCTGACAAGACTGTTTTGGGAGCCATTGATTTAGCTCTCTGGAGTCTACTAAATGGGGAAATATAACCAGATTGAGCTAGAGGAGGCACACTGTGGGGATTCGTTTCATGGACCCACTAGCCACTGTTACTGTGCTTCAGGCTGTGCCCGTGGCAAACTTGAGAATCTTTGTGAGAATGGAGAAGAGGGCAAGAGAAGGAGAAGCAGCAGTGTTTTAAAAAGAATTGTTGTTTGCAGGTTATTATTGGCATCTTTAAATAAATTCTTATTGTATTTTTTAATAGGTAAAGAAGCCAGGAAGGTGTATGATGATGCTCAGAATATGCTGAACATACTGATAAGTCAAAAGAAACTCCAGGCCAGGGGTGTGGTTGGATTCTGGCCAGCACAGAGTGTCCAAGATGACATCCACTTGTATGCAGAAGGTGTGGTGCCCCAGGCTTCAGAACCCATAGCCACCTTCTATGGGCTGAGGCAGCAGGTATGGAACGTGTGTGGACAATGAGTACACTGCTTTGACTCTCAAGCTTGGAAACTACACTCAGTGTCAGTGAGAATTAAATAAGAAACCTGAGCCTTTTGTCTGTACCATTTCATCCCAAACAGTTCTCCATAGGCCCGAGTCCTAAGCCTTTGTGAGGATGGAGAGAAGGCACCCACATGGGTGTCCATGAGGTAGGGTAGGAGTTCCCTGTCTGCAGATAGACAGGGAACAGTGCTGCTAGCCCAGCTGTCATACACTCATGGTTCAGTCTTTCAGTCCCCTTATCCCTCGAAACGAGGGGGCATTTACTTTCCCTAACAATTGCTTCTCATCTGTGTGTTCTGTTGAAGACTGTTACATCACTTGCTGTCTCAGAGGGAAGTCTGGTGGGGACGAATATCCCAGAATGTCCGCCCCGCCAGGTCCTGAAGAGGGAGCAAGAGAGCCAGAGTGTAACTGTTTCATTGTGCTGTAGTCAGATAGCTTATGTCTCTGTTTCACAGAGGAAAAGAAGGGGGCAGAGGGCGCTGGCCTGAGCTTTGTGTGCAGCAGAGAGCCGAGCCCCCTTGAGTGCACCCTGGCTGTCTTCTCCTTGTAACAGGTTTCAGTGCACACCATCTGTGTCTTGTTTTTGCCTCACCCTTAAAAAATGCAGGCACCATACGAAGACTTGAGCACTGTAGACACAATTGTCTCAGTCAAGAATTGGAGCTAGAATTTAATAATTAGCACTAAATTACTTTTTTTAGTTTCACTCACATTTTCAGTGATTTAAAATTGGTAGTGTTGCCTTTTATCATAATGCAACTCATAATGACAGGGTTTTAATAGTAACAACGGATAGGATTTTTAAATTTGGGCCTTAATACATACCATAAGGAGTTATGTGAGAACAATTTCAGCTTTACTCTGTGTGCTTAGGCTCAGACACCACCGGATACAGAGTAGGCAGTTGCAGTGCTGAGCTCTGGCCCGTTCTTCTAGGGAATCATGAGCTTTTCTTTGACTGGTAGCTAAGGCCAGACACCTGCTGGGCCCATTCTTTCATCCTCCAGTCCTGGTTTTCCTCTGCTGCCTTTTCACTTCCAGAATGAACTAAATACTGTTGTGTCAGGGAAGTCTGGACATGCTGGGCAAGGACATTTACGGCAGTGGATTCTCAGTTCACTCTTTTAGTAGTCCCTAGAAAGGGGAACTGGACCATAGATCTGTATTGCCTGTGTGGATAGCCATTTATTAGGAGGTGATCTGTAGGGCACTGAAACAATGTAGCTGAGCCTTTTGTTCAAAGTGACTCTGATTGGCATCCCTTCTAAGGCACAGTGGGACCAGTGACCTGTCCTACTGCAGAGTAGGTTTGTGTACCTCTCCTGCTTTTCTTTCTTTTTTTAAAATCAAAGAACAGTAGAGTGCCACTAGAAAATGGACTAACCCTCCATTCACCTCTATCCCTGAGCTCCGGGACACTTATGTCTTCTGACCTGCAGCCACTGGCTTATTCTCTGCCCAGTGTCAGGCTACACTTGCTCTCATGATTAGCAAATGGCTTAGAGGATTCTGAGTGACTACTTGATTAATTGATCAGTCTCGAGTAGTTCCATGTATCTAGGAGCATTTGTTTCTAGAACTGATGGGGCACTGGTGTTAGCTCCTGGGTCTGGCCACTGGCTGAGCCTGTGGGGTCAAATTTATGTCTCAGATTTCTCGCCTATGAAATGGAGCTTGTGGATCACTTTCTTCACTGGATTGCTGAGAGCTAAATTAGTACCCTATAAAGAACAACAAAGTGTTAAGTACTTGGAAATATTAGTTAGAAGCTATTAACTTTTTATTGACCGTGATATGTATAAGACTTTTATAGCTTCATAGCAGGGAGGATAATTACCAGTTGAGAGTAAACCAGTGGAAGAAAGACACCTGTGCTGTGGAGAGAGCGTGTGTGTGTGTGTGTGTGTGTGTGTGTGTGTGTGTGTGTGTGTGTGTGTGTGTTTTGAGACAGGGTCTCATGTGTCCTAGGCTGATCTCAAACTTGATGTATCACCAAGGGACCTTGAATTTTTGATCCTCATCCATGCTGAAATTAGAGGCCTGCAAGATTGTACCTGGCTTATATGGTACTGGGGATCAAACATAGAGCTTTGTGCATTCGAGGCAGGCATTCTTCCAACTATGATTCCCAGGCCCTGGACAGAGTATTTGTATTCAGAATGCCTTAGTGTGTTCTTAGAAGTCTCCTAACACCATGGTAGACAACACCAAGCCTGTATGCACTTGACCTTAGCAGTTTGTTAAAGTCTCTCTGTTAATGCACAGTGACGGCTAATCCCTTTATCAGGCTCTTCTCAAACATGCTCATCTGAATTGAAAACACTGTGCAAAAGTAATGTTTAATCTATGGTTTTTTAAGGTTCTGGTTCCTAGCAGAGTGCCTGCAGGTATTCAGAAGTGTTTAGTGAGTGCATAAATGAGCAGATCCACTAATTTCCTAATTATATATGCTCCATCATGTCATATATTTTTAAAAATCTCATTTCATTTGCGTCTTTGTTTTCTATTGCTATAATGTAATATTCAAGACTGGAAATTTATAAAGAAAAATGTTTATTTTGGTTCATTGTTCTGGTTGTTAAGTCCAAGATCAGGCAGCCACATCTGGTGAGAACCACGTGCTGCTTTGTAACATGGCAAAAGTCAAAAAGAGGAGAGGCACATGGGTGAGTGAGAAAAGAAGGCTGAACTCCAGTGATAGCCAGCACGTCCTGCAAGAAAGACAGTAATCAAGTCATGAGGGCTCCACCTCATCTGCTGCAGTGCCTCTGGGCCCCATATGGCTGTGTTGAGTGATTGCAGTTTAGTGTATGAACACACTAAAGTATCTATTGCATCCTCACTGTGTGCCAGACACCGTTCTGAGTGCTGGCGTAGAGCTGAACGAAGCAGGCAGACATTGTCTGTCCTAAGGTTTATATTCATTTTGCTCTCTACTATGTCCTGGTGCCATGGCCATACTAATGGCTTCTCTGCCCAATGCTTGGGTTTTAAGGCTGAGAAGGACTCTTCCAGTACAGACCCCTACCACTGCCTCTCAGACTTCATTGCTCCCCTGCATTCTGGCGTCCGAGACTACTTGGGTCTGTTTGCTGTTGCCTGCTTTGGGGTTGAAGAGCTGAGTAAGGCCCATGAGGATGATGGCGATGACTACAGCAGCATCATGGTGAAGGCCCTGGGGGACCGGCTGGCAGAGGTACGGCATTGGCAGATCGTGGGGTACTGAGGTGGAGTCTGGGTGTTGGAGCTCCCATGACAATGTCAGAAAGCCTAGCAGCCTTTAGAATCTGTGTCACTGTATAATTGAGCCAGATGCTGCCGGCTTGAACATGATCTGTAGTTTAAGTCCTGTGTCTCCCAAATGCCACTCGGGTCATCTTGTAGCAAAGAGAAACCTCCAGTGCTTCACTAGTTGGTTGTTGCCCTCAAGGGTCTTGACCTTATCTCTGAATTAGTCTTCCTTTGATTATTGTGATGCATCATTTTACTGATAACTCCCAGAATTAAAATCAGATTTCTCCTTGAGAGACCCCTCTAATGTTGGCAACTTTGATAGAGTTATCTTTGCTGCATGTGGGGTGAAGCAGGCCAAGCTGTGGGAGGTCCTGTCCCCTTTCTTCTCAGCAGGCCATGGAGGGTACAGCTCTGTGGTCCCAGTACTCTTCTGGTAAAGCTGTGGTCCCGTTGACTTCAGGAAAATGGCCTACAATCCTCAGATTACTAAATATGATACTTCAGAACTCAGTTGAGGACACCAGTGAGTCTCAGGGCAGCCAGTGAAAGTACAGTTTATCCTGACTGTGGCCAGGTAGGGAAAGTGATTCTGTGCCACTGTGATGCAGGGCTGGGGGCCACAGGTTGCTTCTGCTTGATTGTGCCCCTCTCTCTTCTTGTTCCCAGGCCTTTGCAGAGGAGCTGCATGAGAGAGTTCGCCGAGAACTGTGGGCTTACTGTAGTCGGGAGCAGTTGGGTGTCACAGACTTGCGCAAACTCCGGTATGAGGGCATCCGACCAGCTCCTGGTTACCCCAGCCAGCCTGACCACACTGAGAAGCTCACCATGTGGAGACTGGCCAACATTGAGCAGGCCACAGGTGTGTGGCAGACAGTAAGCTCCTGTCCTTGCTCATCGAGTGCATGCACTTACCAATGACATACGCAGTTAAAAGTTTTTATAAAATGGAAGAACTTAACATGAAATCACCCCTCATCCCATCCTTTCTCATTTGGATCTGTTCTGGCACTTTACTTCCAAATTACAGCAATGTATTTTTGCTTTAATATTTTAGATTTAGTTTAAACTGTTTACTCTTGCCCCATCCTGGATGGGGATTTACCTTGTTCTCTTTTCTTCCCCCTGCCTTTCAAAGTTAGTTTTCTGTCTTGGTACAGTAGTTAGTGGCCGGCCCCTGGCCTGTTGGATGAGTCTTCTGCCTGCTCAGGCCTGCACTGCTTGCTGATGGCTGCTTTTTGAGCTCCCAGCCTTCCTGGAGCTTTCTCACTTCTCTGTACTTGATATTAACATCAATGCTCCTCTGCAGTCATCATCCCCTCTTCAGTTTTCTCTATGGGTTGAATCTCAGAGTTGAAAATTAAAAGTTGATCTGTGCTCTGTTGAGACAGTGGCCTCATTGTCCTTGGCTGAGGCGGAGTCAGTCATCGTTCTGAGGCTGTGTATTGTCCCATCCTTACTGCATAGCTTGTGGAGTTGAGAGGACTCAGGTGAAATCACAAACCCCTTGGAGTTAATCAATCAAAATTAGCTATCAAAGCTGGCAAAGTTGAATCCGTATCAAAGAAAGGAACTGGGGGTGCCGTTGGATCTGGGTCTGCAGAAACAACTCTGGGAATCACAACATCTAGGTGTGAGCCCCGTTTCCTATGAGTGAGCTAGAGATCTTTAGAAAATAGTTAGTCCTTGGTGATTCCATGTTCTTGTCCATAGAGTGAGTAGTCTGAGTAACAGTCCTGAGGACCCTTCCTTCTCAGTGCTTTTGTTCTTCATTCATGCCACCAGCTGACCTCCCAAAGTCACGAGGAGCTTACTCTCAGGGCTAGCAGTCCTGCCTGAGAAGACTCAGTGGAGACAAATTGGAGCCTCTACAACTGATCATGGGTAGCTGGGGGAAAGAATGCAGTCTTTTCCAGGCTTGCTCCCACTGGGTATAATGTGCATGTCTGAATTTGGTTTTTCCATGTGGCGAGAATTTGCTAGACACTATGATGGGAACTTCTTACTGTGTCATTGTGTCTGCCTTGAAGGCATGAGTTTACTTGGTGCTCACTCAGAGTCTGTTAGTACCCTGCCTGGGCACTGATTGCTTCCTGTGGTTCTCTTTAGGCATCAGGTTGACAGAATCCTTGGCAATGGCACCTGCTTCAGCAGTATCAGGCCTCTACTTCTCCAATGTGAAGTCCAAATATTTTGCTGTGGGGAAAGTTTCCAAGGATCAGGTAAGTGTGTGACTTCTCTAGATAACTTTTTTTTTTTTTTTGGTTTTTCGAGACAGGGTTTCTCTGTGTAGCTTTGCGCCTTTCCTGGAACTCACTTGGTAGCCCAGGCTGGCCTCGAACTCACAGAGATCCGCCTGGCTCTGCCTCCCGAGTGCTGGGATTAAAGGCGTGTGCCACCACCGCCCGGCCTAGATAACTGTCTTTAAAATGGACCTGTAGGACCCATTTTACATGACAGTGAAGTGATGTGGTGTGTGTGTGTGAATAAATTCACCCCAGTTGTGCCTTAATTTGATTTCAGCCCATTACCCTTATTCTAGCCCTCCCTCTCTACCTGTGATACACACACACATACACACACACACACACACACACACACACACACACACACACACACACACACACACACCCTTACCCTTCCAACTTCTAAGCAGCAGACATATATGCCACATGCTGTTTTCTGCCTAGAGAGTAAAGCAAGTAGGCAGACAGAAAACACCTCTGTTTAGCTCGGTAGATTGCTGTCAAGACAAGATAAGCCAGGTACTTAATGTTTATTCCAAAAGCCCGTGGAAACTCAGATCAGAAAAGAAAGTCTTGGCACTTTGGTTTAACAAGATGCTTCTGTCTTTTACAGATTGAGGATTATGCCTTGAGGAAGAACATGCCTGTGGCTGAGGTGGAGAAATGGCTTGGCCCCATTCTGGGATATGATACAGACTGACTTGGTTCTCCCTCACACTCCTTTTCTCTTTCTCTTTTTTTCTTTAAAACCTTATGTTTGCTGACCTCAAGGGAGTACCATCCAGAGTGCCTTAGAAATAACAACAAAAAGCACCCGAGTGCCTGCCTGGCCAGTGTTGGAAGGCTGGTTGGTGGCATATGATGTAGATCATCTGGGGTCCTAGAAAATAAGTAACTGTTTCAGGGACCTTAAGTGAGGAGCAACAAGGTGCTGAGGCTCCTGGTGTCCCTGCATCCTTAAGATTGGAGCAGGCAGAAGGCATCTTTTGCAGCTTGTTCCTGTTTTGTTGTTGTTGTTTGTTTGTTTTTATTGTTTTTCTCACATGAAAAAAAAAAGATCCTGAAAATAAGTTGAATAGGGGAATGTGTAGAGACATGTGACACAGGAGCAATGTGCCACCGTGAGAAAAGTGATATTTCAACCTAAGTGTTTTCAACAGTAGACTCGGACAGGGAGGAAGGCAGTCAGTCCTCTCTTCTCCTGTAAGACTTCATTTTCAGAGGCTCAGCTAAATGGCTGTAGAACTCTTTGGCAGAGGCATGCTCACTGCTTGCTGGACAGAATACTGGGACTGTTTGCCCTGGTGTGCTGGTGTGGCTGCGCACCTGACTCCACACTCATATATTTTGGATACGCTACATTGGCTGGTGTCTGTTATTTCTGGAGAAGTTGTTCAGGGCGTCAGGCCGTGAAAGCGCAGACTCCAGTTTCAACTTTGCAGTGTAACTGCCATGTGTCATAAGCTTAGTTCTTAGTCTCCCCGGCACGGTCTGCTCATCTGTAAACTGAGAACAGTGATACGGATTTCTGTCTCATTGGGGGGAGTGAGGCTTAAACAGGAGTGTGCATAGAGACAGTTCAGGTACACACAGGTGTCTAAGTGGAGGTCCTGTAGATCTCTCTAGTCTTAGCACTGTAGGTACTCATGAGAAGAATAACAGGTGGAGTGGGGAAATGTGTTTGGGAATGTGACTGTGGGGGAATCTCCTTCTAGGATTAGAACCCCAACTTGAAATTTACACCAACTGAGAGAGAAACCACCGCCATCGGGACTCATCTTCCTGAGAGACCCCTCCCTTACCTCCTATGTTGCCCCAAAGCACTCACACCAGACACATCCTCTGGTATATTGGAGGCGAAAAGAAGAAAATGGCTGTTGGGTAGTGATGATCCTGCGTATCTGTAGTCTTTCCAAGTTTATTTTCAAAGTAATGTACATTTTTTATATCAATTTTTATACTTGTCTTCAGAGTGAAAAGAATTGTCTCCTTTTTTAAGGTGTGTTTAACATGTACTAGAATGTAAATGGGACTCATTAGTTTGAGCCACTTAGTTTCAGGACATTCTTTTTTTTTTTTTTTTTTTGTTTTGTTTTGTTTTGTTTTGTTTTTTGTTTTTTGAGACAGGGTTTCTCTGTGTAGCTTTGCGCCTTTCCTGGATCTCGCTCTGTAGACCAGGCTAGCCTCGAACTCACAAAGATCCGCCTGCCTCTGCTTCCCGAGTGCTGAGATTAAAGGCGTGCGCCACCACAGCCCGGCAGGACATACTTTCATAGCAGGTACATTCTTTAGGCTTTTGTGAGAAAGAATAACCTCTAGATATTTTAATGTATTTCAACTGAAGAATTACTAGCAGCCTATTTATTTCATTGCCATTCTTTGAGCTGGCTTCCTTGAATATGTCTTTGCTCTAATCCATGACGTATGTCATAGTTATCTTCCTCTTCTTTTTTGCAAGTTGGGGTGTATAGATACTCACTAAGGGATGTAAACAATAACTTGAAAGCATCCTTCTTAGTTTATTTTAGGTCTTCCAGAGAAGCTGGACTCCAAAGGCTAACATTCTAAGCTGGGCTCTTGTGTGCATGATTGAATGCACCCAGCATGTTCCCTCACCATTGGCACCTGAGACTCTGACATGAACTGATTTCACACACATTCATTCGGGCTGCATGTTTATATTTTCACAGTTGAGAATTGTCTGTAGCCAGATGTGCCTGCCCTATGCCTGTTATCACAGCATTTGGGAAGTAGAGGCAGGAGGATTGGCGTGAGTAACAGGCCATCCTGGGTAAATAGACTGTCTTCAAAAACAAAAACAGGACCAGCAAGATGGCTTAGTGAGCAAATGTACAGGCTGCCAAAGATGACCTGAGTCTGATCTCTGGGACTCACATGGTAGAAGAAGAGACCGACCCCCAACTTCCACATGCGGCTTGTGGCACACCACACAATAAATACGTGTTCTGGGGGCGGTGGGAAGGGGTTGTCTCCATTTTGCTGCTTGCTCTGCTGCCTGCTGTAGAGGCTCGTTTTGTGGAGCAGTGGCTGGGGATAGGCATAGTTTTGTTGTAACTTTTCTCCTTCGAGCTGTTTTGCTGGCCGTTCTCCTCCATTCATAGTAAACACACATGGGAATATCTGCCCCTGCCCCAGCTGATGGTCTCATGCATGCTCTCTTCACATGTTTGGGCGTCTCTCGTGTACCGGTTATTTCTCTCCTCCTTGCACTTAGTGCAGTGAAGTTAAGGGAGGTGTCTTTCTCATCTCTTAGCACTGAACACTTGTTAATTATTAGATCTAGAGGCCTCCCCAGGGGATTATCTTCTCCGTGGTTTAGACATTGTTGACTGTCCAAATTCTTACCCATATCCTCTCCCTTGATGTAATTCTTTTGTTAGCCTTTTATATTTATGGTCATTTCTCAACCATTTTTTTCTTCTACCTGTTTAAATTCTTACATTCTGTCATTAGTTGTTTTCCCAGCCTGTTGTTTCAGAGACTGATGTCATCAGTTCAGGACTCCAGGCTCCTCCATCCTAATCCTTGCTCCTTAAGAGGAAGGTTGCCACCTCAGTCCTGAAGGAGTACATGATACATCTGATAGTGGAGTCTCCCAAACTTTGCTTCTGGGTATCTCATGTACTCTCCAGTATATTCAGTAATAAAGACTGATTGGTGCTGCCCAGTCAACAGATTGCAAGCTCACTCCATACTGTCTTTCCCTAGGACAGTTTGCTCAAAAATGTGTTTGTCTGGTGGTGGACGTACTTAGGGAAGGCCCTGGTTGACTCACATTTTAGGACCTGAAGAGTAAAGATGGAACAGCGGGGAAGGAACAGATGAGGAACTGTGAATAGAAACATTAAAGGTTATAAAGATGCCCGATCTTTCCAAATTGCTGTGAAGTCAAGATTTCCAGCAGCAATTCTAACAGAGGTCATGTTGAAGACAAGCAGATGACTAATGTGGAATAGCAAAGGAACCAAAGTGGTCAGATGCTTATGCAAATGAAGAAAGGTTTAGGGAACTTGTCTGACAATACACGAAGCTTTGGTGCAGAAATGGCTTCAGTCATTGCTACCAAAAGCTAAGGACTTCAGATAAGCAAGTGAATGACGTAAGTGAGAAGACTTTTTTTTATATAATGTAGTTCTTTATTGATTCTTTAGGAATTTTACATCATGCACCCCAATCCTACTTACCTTCCCACCTTCATATCCGCCCCTCACCACTTCATTTCCATCCCTCCCCGAAAAGGTCCTCCTCCCCCCCCCCCCCCCCCCCCCCAAAAAAAAAACAAAGCACACAAAGCGAGCCTGCCCTCCGCTGGCCCTGGGATAGCTGGCCCTGTCCCTTGCTGGAGACTACAGCAGGAGAGCTGGCCCTGCCCCTCATGGGAGAGCTGACCCCAGCACTCAGGAAAGATGGCCACTCTCACCCCAGGCTTGGGAGAGCTAGTTCCACACTCACCTTGCCTGAGGGGGGCAGTTCTAGAGGCCCAGAATGACCAGTTCAGCTACCACCCTGAGCCTTGGCTTGGCCCACTCTAACATCTACCCCATCTATGGCCTGTTGGATCATGTTAAGGGACTGGTCCTATGGAATGATAGCCACGGGATCTCCATGACTCGGCAGGATATCCAAAAGGAGTTTTGATGAGGGTCCAGTGATGCTGGGCCAGAGGCCTTGAACCAGACCAATGACTCATTGCAGTGAAGATGCTGTGACACACCACAGCTCCCAATGTTACTAGGACAAATGAAGAGGTGTTTGCTTTGAGAAGACATTTTTTAAAAGGTAACCAATAAGGGATTAGTAACCAGAATGTATAGAAAAGCATTCTCATGATGGTGGTAAACAAATACATGTTTTGTGGTGATCAGAAATGTGAGATTCTGTTCTCTGTATGTAACATTTGCAAGAATGGGACCCACAGTTCCAGGTGTTAGATGGTCTGTAGGTCGTCACACATCTTTCACATCACTGCTTGAGAACAGTTACACCTCACAGATGTGAACAATCTACAGTGAATATGGGCAGAGCTTCTAGTCATGTTCAGCCATGTCTTAGATTTTGGTCATGGCAGTATAATCATGTTAGTAACAGATGGATAACTGAAGTTCTGTCCATGGGAGAATGGTTTCATAAGGTACCTTCAGCTACATGGTGTGGTGAAAATGAGCGAACTACAGCCACAGTTGGCAGTATCGGGCTAAAACAAGTTTCTTGTGACTACTTAAGGCACGATACCTATTTTTATTGCGTTCAAAAGTGTGTGAGACCAAAGAACATACATGGTAGCTACATATGTGATAAAAACTTACAAAGGAAAGTCACAGAAAACCCAAATCAAGTATAGATAGCCCATGGGAGGAGGAGTTAAAAGGGCTGGAGAAAAAACCCCAGGTGAATTGTGGATAACTGCTTTAGTTCTTGGATGGGAGGGCTATGGCTGTTTACCACACAGCATTTTTGTATATTTTAAATATGCTATATTTAATGTGTGTTTAATGTATTTTAAACAATAAAGTACAATGCAAACTTCAAGTCTGGCATGATGACTTTGTATGTATTGTATATGTCAGACACACTTGGAAGAATGAAGAACTTTTTAGCTAGAAGAGCAGGGATGAAGGCACTTGGGCAAGAGGGATAGGTTTGAACACCAGAATTCTCTCTCACAGCCTAGGTTTTGGTGGATGAGTGGGTGGTACCATATATTTAAGACAGATTAGAGGAGGGAAGGGGAGTTTTGGAAAAATGGGATATGACTAGACTAAACTGCAGCTTTTTGGAACCTAATCCACGTGTTGTATGTACAGTGTGTAAAATGGGGCTGGGTACCCAGTGAAGGTGTGCAGCCTAATCCACCTGTTGTGTGTTTAGTGTGTAAAATGGGGCTGGGTACCCAGTGAAGGTCTGTGGATTCTGCTTGTACTTTGAAATGCTCTAATGTAATTTTCAAAGATCTTTTTTCTCAGCCCTTTTTTTTGTTTTATTTTTATTTGTGTGTATTTGTTGTTTTGCTTTTGTTTTTTGAGATGGGGTTTTCCCATGTAGCCCTGGTTGTCCTGGAACTCCCTCTAGACCAGGCTGGCCTCAATCTCAGAGAGTCGCCTGCCTCTGCCTCCTGAGATCTTAGACATCAGCATATATATTTTTTTGTTCCTAAGTAGATGATTTTGCTCTTTCCACTTGGAAAAAAAGCACTGCACAGCTTTTCTTTGATGCCCCTGAATTGCTGGCACCACCACTCTTGCTTTTTGTACAATGTCATAGGAACCGATAGGTGGCCCAGACAGCTACCAAGTGACTAATGGGTAGGTAGCATATAAAGTGCAGATACATACACACTGGACAAGGGTCATTCGTGTTTCTGGCAGGACAGAGTTGAACAGTGTGAGATCACACTACTCAGAGTGGTATCCAGTTTAAAACTTCGGACTTGTGTATTTCTGGAATTTTTTATTTAATATATTTGGGCTGTCATTTCTTATAGATAACTAAAACAGTGGATAAGAGGAAGAGTACTACTATATAGTGTGGAGACTCACAAAGCAGGCAAACTATTTTTTTGCCTAATAAAGGACCTTAGCCTTGAGCTTACATGTTCTATGAAATTAGATGTGTTGCTAATGGACTCAATGCAGATCCACACAGCAGCCTCCAGCATGAAGCTTGAAGTGACTGAGAAAGTTATATTGAACTTATGTAGGATTTGATACCAGACAGTAGTTTATCTAAAGCCTTTTTCTAGTCCTTAGCAGGTTTCTCCTTCCATTTTTCTGGATGAGTACTGACATCCATTTAAAAACTTGAGAAAGCTGAAGCCTGTACAACAATCTGATAGCAGAGGCCAGTCAGGTATCTGGTCTGCTCGGTTCTCCAGCAGACTGAATGAACTAAATGTCGAGTAAAGGGGTTGAAGGCTTGGTGGTTAAGAGCACTGGCTGATTTTCCAGAGGACCTGGGTACAATTCCCAGCACCCACATGGCAACTCACAACCACCTGTAACTCCAGTTCCAGGAGACCAGTGCCACCTTCTGGCCTCTGGGCGCCAAGCATTTGCATGGGGCACAGATAGGTATGCTGACAAAACACCCGTATTTATGAAAAGATTTGTTAAAAATCGTGGGTGAAGGTTGGAATCAACTATGAATCAGTGACTTTACCATCCCTCCCGCAAGGTGAGTAAATATACAGTAGATTGAAGGAAGTAGTGAGGATATACCTATATGACTTAGTTTGTCTCTGTTTTGCATTGAAGTCTGGATTCTCTTATAATTAGAAGATTTAAAACTGCAAATGAGTTGAAAGCCAAATCACACTTAATACTCTATTATTCCTAAAAGGTTGGATGAGCCCAAGAGAAAGACCCTGTGAAACATCTTCCCTTATTAAAAGTAACACTGGGAGAAACAGAACAAACCTGTACTTTTAACATTAGACACAGAGGTATGGAATCTGTCCTACTTGGTAAAGTACTCACAGATGAGCATGGTATGCAATAGTCAATGACAGAACCAGAAATTTAGCAATCCTGCCAGGCACATAGTAGGACTATAAGTATCTGATGAGTAAAATTGTCAGAACTGAACACCAGAAAGCCACTTAGTGTTCTCTAGCTTTTCTGGGCATGTGCAAGACTTGCTGCATCAGCCACTGCACACAGGCAAATCTGCTCTGTCCATTAAGGAGATTATCCAGAACTATAATTTATCCAAAACTAGGCATAGTGAAGACTTATGAGCATTGCAATATTTTTGCAGAATCTTTTGAGCCATCAAAGACTCATTAAAATTTAATATAACTTCAGTGTCAAATACATTTTGCTATATGAATTATTGTTTTTGAAGATTAGCCACCCAAGTGTGATAAATAGAGCTGTCCCTCTTAACTGAAATATAGATGAAGTAAAATTCTTCCCTATTGTGTCACATAGTTGAGTATCTGCTGCTGCTGTTATCATGTGGTAAAAGAAGGAAAACTGACATTCTTCCAGCTGGTAAATAGGGTACCAAAGCATAGAAGATAGTTTGTCAGGGCAGATGAAAAGATGCTAGGGTAGAGTGGTTACAAAATGAGAGGGAGAGTTGTGACAATGGGCTGGTGCAGGGCAGGGTTGAGTCGTTTAACTCCATTGTCGGGGGCGGGGTGTGTGGTTTGTGTCAGATTAGCAGGACTATCTGACTTGGGAAAGCAGAATA